ACAGATACCTACACAACCTCAGTCTTTGTTGTCAATGACTTCTTCAAATTGTTTAGTCTCTCTACTTACTCTTCCATTTTTGATGCTGAGGCATTGCTATTAGTGAAGCTATCAACCATATAACTCTTCATAATTATTACAATGTTCTAATCTGCACAGACTCACATAGTGTGCTAACCAACTTAATCAATCAGGCTTCCGACCTTCATCCTACTATATATGACATTAAAAAAGCCCTTTTTAACTTCCAGGACCTCAATATTTCCTTACTCTGGATCCCTAGCCATGTAGGCATTCCAGGTAACGAAAGAGCTGACCAACTGACAAAACTTCTTCCACTTGCTCACAAGGTTGAAGGAAAACTCTACTACAAACAACTAATTCCCTTCATTAAAAAACAGAGTTTCTTAGATTGGGCCAAAGAATGGCACGACTGCACCTGGAAAGGCCAAAGACTCAAAACTTTGATGCCGCATCTCTCTTCCCGCCCTTGGTTCTCCAAATTTCACTGGAATAGAAAAGACATTAAAAATCTTATTAGAGCCAGAATAGGACACGGTCTATATCCCTCCCACCTACACAGAATAAATTTACGAGCTTCTGATCTGTGCAATTGCGGACTAACAGGCGACCTCAACCATATCTTCTTTCAGTGCCCCCTACTACAACACGATGCCTTCTTTCAAAATTTAATTAACGCTAATTACTTCCCCCCCTTCAATATTTCGCTTATTCTTCATAACCCTCTCCCTTCTATCTATAAAATAATCACCAATTTCTTAAACCAGAATAATATTTCCTTATAAAAGCCCGTAATGATCACAAGCCCTTCATCACCCAATTCTCCTCCCCCCTAGCTATTCCCACACCCGCCCTTTAAGTACATCCATCTATCTCTCTAATCCTACAAAATCCTCCAAATCTACCTTTATACCTAATGTTCACTTAGTATGTTTTCCAGGACCCAGTCTACCATAGGTTTAGTCGCCACAGTGGGTCTTGTGGCGTGAAGATGGTGTTGGTACCCCCTAAGTCCCCTTTGCATATCTACTCCCTCTCTTCTCACCTAACTCTCTCCTCAACATTTTAACCACTTACCTACCACAATGTGTCTATAGATGGCTGTGGGCTCCACACCGGAGCATGAAGCCAATAAAGCATCAAAGAAGAAGAAGTAGAAGCAGTTGGGGTTATTTTTCGACGAGAAACTCGAATTTTTAGTCACTTTTTCGAAATACGTATATCCAAGATGGCGGATTTGGCCTAAAATGCTATCTCGGCTCCTATGCCATCGATTTTTGTATAACTTTGTACCAGGGGGTATTTTTCAACCAGAAACTCGAGTTTTCAGTCATTTTTTCAAAATTTGCAAATTCAAGATGGCAGATGTGGCCTAAAATGTTATCTCGGCTCCTATTGCATCGATTTTCGTAAAACTTAGCATCAAGAGGTATTTTTCGACCAAAACTCGAATTAACACTAATTTTCGACATTCGTAAATCCAAGATGGCGGATGTGGCCTAAAATGCCATCTCGGCTCCTTTTGCATCGATTTTCGTAAAACTTAGTATCAGGGGGTATATTTCGACCAGCAACTCGAATCTTCAGTCTAATTTTCGAAATTCTCAAATCCAAGATTGTCGATAAGACCCAAATTGCTGTTTTGGCTTCTGATATTGATAAATTTATTTTTGTTAAACTTGGTCCCGTTGTCTCAAGTAGCCTATGAGTTGTGCTTAAACTCTCTCATTGGGTCAGATTAATGTTCACTTTATTTGCGACTGACCGCAAATCAACCAAACGGAAGCTGTGATGACAGAAGTTGCTTTGAACTACGAAAAATATCGATAAATTTGAATCGATTTCTTTAAATTTTTTTGTCTACATCTTGCGTTTTCCTGATGGTAATGTTAAAGGCAGGAGAAACTTTAAATTAATGTCAACAAATTTTACTTTGCATCTATTATTTGGGATATCATTTTATTTTAGGCGACAAATGCTTATATTTTTAGCTTGGCAGCTCATATTTACATTTAAATGTTTTTGGCGGGATGAATATAACTCATAATTATTTTAAGGCCTTTCTACAATTCGTTCAGTAACTAAAAACCAGGATAAGCCTGAATGTGACTATGCAGATATATGCTTATGGCGCGCTCTTCCAACACCCTGTGTTGGATTTACCAGCTCGTTTTTCATTTGTTTTTATTGTTGATTGATTTGTATTCCCGTATCAATAATCAGCCTGTAGACTTCTGTGATTGCTCAACATGATTCTCGGACAAATTTACCAATAGAAATTCCCTTCATTCATTTGTTTCTCTTGTGTGCAACATACCTGCAGGCTGAAATTTTGGACCCAATGAATAAAGCAGGATATAAATTAAAATCCTAGAACATCGCAGCATTTATTCTTATCCTGAAACCAAATTAACCAGTGGCGGACACCTATTGGCCACTTTCCTACCTGTCAGAAGGTAGGAAACTCTTTGAAAGGGCTTACTGGAAAAGACTATACCCAAGTATATTCAAAGGAAGACAAATGATATCATGTCACCAATCCGGTTTTAGGATCTTGCATTGGACCATAGAACAAGCGCAGTAAGGTGTGAGTTTTTAGAAAAAACCGTTTTTTTGTATAACCATAGACTACAAAAATCTTTTGACTGAAGTATTGCACAGCTCAGTGGGATAATAGCATCATGCTCAGTGCAAGTAATGCTGCCAATTCTATCATTACGTATAGGAAAATCCCACCCAAAACACTTCCATGAAAAAATGCCCGTCAAGCTAAAAATATAAATATTCGTTGCCTAAAATGTAATGGTATCACACAAGGCAGACTGCAAGTAAATTTCATGAATATTTTCAAGTTTCTCTTCCCTTCAACATTAATACCGGCAAAATGTAAATTTTAGACAGGAAAAAAAAATTTATAAAAGGAATACACATTTATCAATTCTCTTTGTAGTACAATTGTACTTTGTGATTGTTCAATTGTAGGCGACGAATATTTATATTTTTAGCTTGACTGACACTTTTACATGGAGATGTTTTTGGTGGGATATCATGAAGTTTTTCGCACACATGATCCCCAAGAAACAAAAAGAAAAAAATGATCAAATTTTGCTACTTTAATTTTATTTTTAATTTAAGAGAAATTTGAAAATTTCTGCAATGTTTGATGGGGTATGTCATGATGAGCACTTGAAAGGCACTTAATTTATAAAATATAATGTAGTTTCTTAACATTTTCAAAGTAAAGTTTTTAATTTATAGAGGTTTGACATTATTGTTGACTTTCAAACGATGCTGGGCAATGTGTGTTTCACAGAGTGAATTTGAGGAGTTTTCTTCAATATCCTGATAGGCGATGAGGGTGGCTACAATTCTACACAAAAAAACAAGCCGCACTGCCTAAACCGGATGTAAATTGGACAATAATCATCAATTGACAGAGGTTGAAACATTATTTTCATGCTCTTTTAAAAAATTCCCCACGCTCAATGGTATCAAACCAAACTCTCCGCCCAAAAAATTCTTTAACATTGCACTTTCGATTAAAAAAAAAAAAAAAAATCTGCTGTACTCAAAAACCGGAGCATGCAGAACCCATTTTTCGATATTGAAATGCGTAAGTCAGTAAGCTAATCAGAAGTTGTGAGAGGCAGCTTTCATTTTCAACAAAGGAGGAGAATAAACTTTCCGTTTATTCTTCCTGGGTCATCCAAAATAAACTTCGGAAAATTGCCGCGCACCGCGTAAAAATAGCGTCCTCAGAAGTATCAAGGTTCAGCTCAAATCATTGAAACCCACATAAAAAAAAGCTAACACATTTGTTTTTCTACATATCTGTTTCTTCATGCCCATGGTTTCTTATGCTTCAGAAAAAAGAATAATAATTCTTGTCTAAAACTTACTACCCCCTTCCGATGAGCGCCCCTCGGAAATGTTCGGTAAAACGAATTTTAATGTCGCGAAGAAGGGCTCCGTGTGCTCCAGATTTCGAGTACAGCAGATTTTTTTTTTTTTTTTATCGAAAGTGGAATGTTTAAGACTTTTTTTTGGCGGAGAGCTTGGTTTGATATGTCAATTCCACTGAGCGTGGGAAATTTTTGAAAAGAGCATGAAAAAAATGTTTCAACCTCTGTAATTCCTGAAAAATTGTCCGATTTACATCCGGTTTAGACAGTGTGGCTTGTTTCTTTGCGTACAATTGATTTCTGAAATGAAAAAGCAGGGGTGCCATTTGAAAATTTCGATACATGGGGGGGACCCCCTGCCCCGCATCCCTCCCGCGGTTTGGGAATTTGTGAAATGCGCCAAAATGTGCTCCCCTCTATATAAACAAACACGTCTTTTACCATTTTTTGAAATCCCGACGCGCTCGGCAGATACTCCAGGTGGCTCCTTTTTCGTGAGACACCCTGTATAGGAGCCATCCAGTCAAATTTTAGAAACCTTCAGAGTTCAGACAATTAAGTTTATTACATTTGAAGGGCTCAACTACAAACAAGAAGTTTCGGTGCCTGGACAGACACCATCATCATGAAATCATCATCATCACCATCATCACTAAAAATTGAAGGCAAATTCTAACATGATACCAATAATAAGGGGAAAAAGTACAATAAAATGAACAGCATTTGACAACAGCCAAGAAAAAGATTGGTAGATGTGAAAATACAACTTCCGCTAACCAATAGGATTTTAGTTTTTAGTATATGTTCTACTTAAATTATTTCATTTCCAAAGAAAAATAGCGCCTTTTTTTATTTAAGTTGTGTGTGTAATTGGGGAAAAAAAAAATTCTCTGAGAAGGGAATAGAGGGTAGTGCACTATATGTTAAGTGGTTTTCAGGTGTAAATCATAATGTGCACATAAGAATGCCTTAATTTTTCCATCTTCTTCGTAAATGAAATTATACTGAGCATTTGTTTGAAATGAAGAGATTTCTCTGGAGTATGAGTTGTAAGCAGCATTTTCTTCTGATTACCAGATTTTCAGTCTATGTGGCTTATGGGTCAACTGCTGCGTGATACGCATGCTTTTTTCATGAGGCGGTCCTTTGGAGATGACAAACTTTACAAAGCTGTTTTTGATGAGTATGTCCAAACTTTGGTCATAAGCGGAGATTTACCTATTGAATTCTTCATTGAAGGAACTAGAAGTAGATCGGCCAAATCTCTCCTGCCTAAATTTGGTAAAATTATTTCTTTCATCTCTTTGTTGTATACTTATACATTATTTCAAATTTTAGAGAATACTGAAGCTTCGGATTTTAAATATTTTTCTTAAGTGCTCTGTTAATATAAATTGTTCTCCTGCCTCCTCCTAGAAATAGGTGGTATCCATCTCCTGGTGGCAACTTTTTTATCACATAAACACACTGTCAAGTTTACGCTTTCAATACATTTTATTTAGTAATTTGTATGAATCTAAGAACCTGCACACTGATGATTGCGGTGATCAGAATACTGTTGACACTTGACTCTATCAAAGACTCCTTTTCTAGGTAAACTCAATGGATGATAGTTCCTGTCCAAATATTCCACCATGCTGATCACTGACTTGGTGCACCCAAATTTTTCTACCTGTTTTCGGATTGAATTCACAAGATTCTGTATTTTCTTGTCCAATTTCTTATCCTTCAAAAAGTACCCTGAAAAAACTGCCGAATGCATGTAATGGTTTTTTAAGTCGACTTTGAGCATAACAAAAGTTTGAACTCTATCTTAAGTTTCTGCAAAGAAAGGTTACGTAGGCCAGGCTAGACGATGTGGATTTGCCCTCGTATATTTACTTCATAACTGTATCAATATATGGTGCTAGGTCAAAATGTCCAAAAAAAAAATGTCCAAAAGTCAAAATGTCCAAACCCTGAATGCTCACAAATCTAAAAAGGCCAAATATCAGAAATCTCTAGCTAACAAATAAGTCCAAAAGTAGGCAAAGTCCAAATGTGAGATTAGGCATTGGGTTGTTATTGGATTTTTGGGTGCAGGTTTGCAAGCTATTTGTGAATGCAGCCACAGACACAGATGCACTGATTCTAGGCATTTCTTGGCCTACTGACTACTGAGTCTTTTGTAGAAGCTCCACAAAATTGCCCAAAATTTTATCTTATACGAAATTACATGCAATTATGTATCTCTGTTCCCTATGGAGCCCATTCAGCATGCGATCAAGACTTAAGCTGCTTCAAAAATTAAAATATTGCAAGCAGGAAAGGGGAGGGAGAATTTCTCCTGAATAGGTCTGTTGCAAACTTTGGCTAGAGTAAAACTAAGAGTTGTTTCTTATAGATAATGCCTCAAAAATCACGATGAGCGCATCGGCGAAGTCTGAAATGCACTCACAACTTCTTACTAACAGCAATCTTCATAACTAAAATCGCAAATTTCGTACGCAGATTGTGTTCACAATCTGCAGAAAAAATTTGCGGTTATTTGAGCATCCGATACTACGGCACAGGTGAACAGTTGGAGGAGTCGTTCCATCGTCGGCAATATTCATAATGGCCGACGGCAATCCGCCAAAACACGTGCGATGGGACAAGATCACACCTGACTAGGATAAGACCAGATAACAATCGGGGTGTTTACCTTCATATTTTCCTCGCCCGCCTTGATTGACCTTGAACTATCCACGATAGACGCGCGGAACTACGGAAGCGTCGGCCATGATGAATTTGATGGACCAACTCCTCTGACAAAATGTTAAGCCCGTGCCGTAGTATCGTTTTTAAAGCGGGAAGCTCAAAAAAAGTGCAAATTTCTTACGCAGATTGTGAAGTTATAAGTGCATTTCAGACTTGACGGATGCGTTCATCGTGATTTTTGAGGCATCATCTATAGGATACAACTCTTATTTTTGCTGTAGCAAAAGTTTGCAACAGGCCCATTGTGAGTGCCTCTATGAGGAACATATTTTCCCAAATTAAAATTTATCAGAGGTAAGAGTAAAATTAAAATTTCCATCTCTCAATCGCCATGAATAATAGTGGTTAAATATTGCTGTGTCTACTATGCACTCTTCATTGGAGCTGATCAGCATTTTCTCGTCATTGAAATTGATAAAGATTGTGTTTCAGAAGGTAAAAATTCTCACAAATCAGGCAAACAGGGATTGTCCCCCTCCCCCCTTATTCTGTGAGAGCACTAAACTTTTTCTGGGACCATTTTGGTCAATTTCGAGGCTTTATCATTGATTTTCAGCAGCCCCTCAAGCATAAGACTTCTCCTGTCAGATTCCCCAGGTCCAGCTGAAATAGCACAGCTACATTTAATCATTCAATTTAATTTTGTAAATCGACGTTTAGTCATACATATCAAAGACTTAAGCCTTCAATACTTGTCTGTTACGCATTTGCAAACATTTGTTTCTTTTTTTTTTTACAACTGTCTTCTAAACACTTGCGTCATCGTATGGTGGATTTTCCATTAGTCTAGATCTCATCACTGATAAATTTCTCTGAAATATCTAGCATAAATGGTTTCAATGTAGGTAACACTTTGTAGGTCTTCTAGATACAGTCGCTGGTGGCTCGAAAAATAATTCTCACTAATATTAACTTCTGTTAGGAGTCAGTTTCCTGCATAGATTAGAAGTCTAAGATCTTTACTAATCGAATATTATTGTAAGATTTCTCAAGAAAATGCATTTTACGTTGAGCCTAATTTGCTGCTGGCATGAAAAGAAGCATGTGGACTTTAGGTCCTGGTTGTGGTATGAGAGGCTGCGCAAAAGAATCAAATAACTCTTTTGAGATAAATTCCTTACCTCTGAACTAGAAAAGCCATTGATTCAGCCATTGATTGTTCTGACACCAACACAAATAAAACGATCAGCCCAACAGGCAGCGTGTATCAGAGGAATTTGTGCATTAATCATCTCTCTATTATTTTCACTGGGTCTGGAAAAAGACTGAAATAATGGTTTATTCTACTGAGAGCAAAGGAATTTGTTTGACGTTCAATGGCTTACGCAACTCCTTACACACAATGGCTAGAGGCTGGTGTTACCTTTGACGCACCAACGTAGAGGTATCACAAATAATATCTAAGTTAAAAGTTACAAAATAAGAAGCACTACTATACCGGGTGTCCATAAAGTAACTGAAAAGTGGGTATAATTTTTGAAGAAAAAAAGATAGAAGGTCGCGGTTTGTGGCATTCATCATCATTCAAAAAGGGAAATTTTTCGATGGGGAGGCTTTTATTGGTGGTCCCCCCTGGGGGGCCCCAGGGGGGGCAACTTTTAAAATTCAAATAGCAACCTCCATTTTCTCAGACATGGTTAGAAAGAACTTGAAAAGACAAGAAGAATGGCGAAAAAAAAAACTAAAATCGGTTCACTCGCTCAAAAGTTATAGCCGGTCAAAATTTTAAATTGACCACTTTTCAAAAAATCGCCGTTGAGCTCCAAATTATCGAAAAAACAAAAACAAACCAGGAATGAAAAGTTTGAAAAGTGCCTTTTAGGAAAAGGAAAAACAACTGACATTGTCAAAAGTTTGGAAGGCATTGTTTCAAAATAAAATTGCGGAAAATTCAATGTGGCGACAAATTTGAGGAAACGCGAAAAATGAAAATTCCAGAGACTGTTATCTTTCAAATACCATCTAGTTTAAGGAAATCAAAGGGATCAACTTTAATTCCTTTCTTTGGCGGAGTAAGAGCAATAATTTGCTGACTTTAAAGTTGTCAAGCGGGGCGCCTTCAATTGTTGGAGTATGCAACATCACATTATTAAGTGTGCCGTCCAAAAATGAAGCCGATGTGAAAAATCACTCCTCCTTTGGGATGTTTCAGAAATTTTCAAGATCCTCCCCCAAAGCAGCAAAAGTAAGCACTATTAAATAAAACCAATTAATATTTTACAACTTCATTTGTCCAATGACTAGATACCAAGTTTAAAACAAACAAAAATCCGGTGGAAAGTGGAAACAGTAGTTTTACTGTGAATCGAGAATAATCTGATAATTGCAAACTAAATCAGAATGCAGTGTGATCAAGGGAACTTGGCATACTGATTTCAGCTTCGTAAATAGTGTCACCGATCAGGTAGTGCATCAGATGTTACCTAAAAGATCGGTGCCTCAAATCGTGAGTTTGAGACTGTCAATCGGATAATTTCAACTTAGATAATAATCAAGAGTAGAACGGCGTTTTCGGAATTGAAAGCGCAGCCGATATCCTCCTCGCCAATTAGGAGTGCCAGGAGTTAGAGAATTAAAATTATTCTTGGATTTTTAATTTTCAGAGAGAGAAATGTCAAAAATGTCAATGGCCCCTTCTCCATCAGGATAAACAATGTTTTTTTAGGCTCGCCAAGTTTATGGGTAGAAATTGCTCAATTTTTCTTTTCTTCTTTTTATCGTTGGATTTGAGGAGGAGGACCTTAAAAATTTCTGAAACATCCCAAAGGAGGAGCGATTTTTCACATCGGCTTCATTTTTTGACAGCTCACTTATTAATGTGATGTTGCATACTCCAACAATTGGAGGCGCCCCGCTTGACAACTTTAAAGTCAGCAAATTATTGCTCTTACTCCGCCAAAGAAAGGAATTAAAGTTGATCCCTTTTATTTACTTAAACTAGAGGGTATTTGAAAGATAACAGTTTCTGGAATTTTCATTTTTCGCGTTTCCTCAAATTTGTCGCCACATTGAATTTTCCGCAATTTTATTTTGAAACAATGGCATCCAGACTTGTGACAACGTCAGTTGTTTTTCCTTTTTCTAAAAGGCACTTTTCAAACTTTTCATTCCTGTTTTGTTTTTGTTTTTTCGATAATTTGGAGCTCAACGGCGATTTTTTGAAAAGTGGTCAATTTAAAATTTTGACCGGCTATAACTTTTGAGCGAGTGAACCGATTTTAGTTTTTTTTTTTTGCCATTCTTCTTGTCTTTTCAAGTTCTTTCTAACAATGTCTAAAAAAATGGAGGTTGCTATTTGAATTTTGAATGTTGCCCCCCCTGGGGCCCCCAGGGGGGACCACCAATAAAAGCCTCCCCATCGAAAAATTTCCCTTTTTGAATGATGATGAATGCCACAAACCGCGACCTTCTATCTTTTTTTGTTCAAAAATTATGCCCACTTTTCAGTTACTTTACGGACACCCGGTATTTAAATTTCTTGAGAGCACTGAATATTCATACCAATTTATCAGAAGTGTTCGGAGGCTTTAAGTAAATTCCGGTGGAAAACCCACTCTATGAAGACATTGGTACGATGAACAAGTGGAGTGAAGCAGTTGCAAAAAGTAAACAAATACTTACATTAGTGTAGGTGTGAGCTTATTAAGGCTGATACGAAACAACTGAAACGATATATATTGAACTAATTTGGTATTAATATAATATAATCGACCAGCATTGGACGCCTGGGCGTGCGTGGTGATGATAATTTTGTAAACAAATATGGCGGTCCGTCACAACGTTTAGAGTGCCGAACCCCCAAAAACGCACCGCCTCAGTGGAGAGTGGGGGTTAACTGCCAAATTCCAACGGTTGACCGTCCAAGTCGCCAGTCGGCAAAACCCCGAAACATTTAAACGGAGTTCAGGGCATTCACAAAATACCTATTTCTGTAGGATGGGAGGGTGCTTGAGGAGAACGCTGAGCCATTTTTTATGTTTTGAAGGATAGGTATGAATCGTATCAAGCGTTTCAACAAAGGAAGGTGGTAAAAAAAACCGAAATCTTGTTTTACGTATTTTATGAATAGTTGTCACTTAAGGTTGGATTTCAGGTTGCTTGGGACAGAGTATTTTTAAAATAAATTATTGAAAATGCAGGTATCTACCTAAAATACGAGAGTGCATTTTGGTGTTAAAATTTGTAATTCCTTTTTTCAGGAATGCTTTCAATGAGTCTCGCTCCATTGCTAGAAGAGCACGTTTCAGACATAACAATAGTCCCCGTTAATCTTAGCTACGACCGTACCCTTGAAGAATCTCTATTCTCTTTTGAGCTGCTTGGAGTGCCTAAACCCAAAGAAACAACCTCTGTAAATGCATTTCTTGATAACTAATTTAATTTCCTTATTTTTTTAGCAATTTCAAGCTACTCGCTATGATTACTTCATATATTGAACTTGTTGTGACATACTTTTCAAGAGGATTTAATGAAATTCAAAAGTTAATTGAAAATCAAAGTGAAAATTTTTGTTTGTAATTTAGAATCAACTATGAATGAAAGTTCAGTTAGGCTGTTGAGTTTGGCCATTGAAGAAACTAAATAACTCGAAAATGGAGTGTAACTCATCCTTTAGTAAATGAGTCTTTGGTCATCTCATTAGAATGTAATATTAAAGTGCTGGGAGGTATAGCAGTTTTAACTTAGCCTCTTTTTTACTAAAAATGAAAGAGGCAAACATGAAAAAATAGGTAACCAATGGTATATGTACTTATTCCTCAATCAGAGTGCAGAAGTAAGATTACTATGAAGTTCAGCACCATCATAGACATGCCATCGTTGGTGCTCAGTCTAACCCACATATTTTTGAGCACCAAGTACCATGGATTACAGAAGCATCATCAGAGAAACACTTGTAACCTCCCATAAAGATTTGAAAAAAACTAATTATACCTTCACATACCAGGCATATAGTGAGTTAGCTCATCCTGTAGACTTATTTTCAATTTTTTTTTTTTTTTTGAAATGTGTGGACTTTTTATCGGGTTGCATGGTGTTATGTTGATTAGACTGGTAGAGCCATTCAAATGAGAGCAGAAGAACATCTTGCCAACGCCAAAAACAAAAAAAAATCGGCAAATCATCCTTAAATGATCATCTCATTAATTCAAACCACTCAGTTAATGAATGCACCATACAAATTATTGGAAAATGGGGGAGGGGAGGAGGAGGCCGGAAAATGAACTTTTTAGAGCAGTTCGAAATAAGCCAACAAAAAAATACTGGAAATCCTCTAAACTCACAAATAAAAAGTGAACTGGCCAACCTGACTCTTCCACCATCTATCGTTAGACGCATGACCACGGATTTAGTACAATCTTTTGATTAGATAGTGCTTACCCGAATTTTAGCCTTATTTAATGTTTTCGTTTGTTTTAATTTCTTATGAAAGTCTGACGAGTTCAGGAGCGCAAATATCACAGTTGACCTGAAGATGGATACAAATAGTCCGAAATGATCATAGTCACTTAATTCATCAAATTTCAGCATTATTTTCACTTTCTGTACTCATATCTTTTACTTCTCAGTAGTTCATTTTGAGTATCTTACTCTTAGTGTCTTTCCACCAAGACATGTGATTAGTACATTAAAGCCTATTCCTCCATGGTACCATAATGAATAAGGGCTAGACCCTACTTTTCAAGTCTGATTACAGGGTTCTGCGAGTATGATTTTTTTTGTTCGAGCCGAGTTCGAGCTCTTTTTGACTTTTTCGAACCTGTGAAGAAGATTGAGCCTGGGTCGAGCTCAAGCTTATTCCGAGCTTTTTTAAAATTTAATGATACATTTCTTCACGACTTTAATAAGTATATTGTCTCTCTTCATTTCCCTTTTAATTTGTCTATTTTAAAGGATCATCAATCAACTTTTATAATGAGCCTCTAGACAGGGTAAGAACTGGAGACTTTAAGCACATATTTCCACATCAGAATTTTGCGTAGAATTTAATGGAAAACAAGAGAATTCATGAAACAAACTCATGGACAAGAAATTTGCGTAAATAGAACGCGGATTTTTAAAATCCCGCTTGCTATTTTATACTAATGACGTCATACCCGCAGCGCATCTGGCGGTGGCTGACTGAGCATCGGCCATCGGAAACGTCCAACCATTGACTTACAACACAATCTAGATCGCGCACTAGGCCTGACTTTAGGCGGAGAAGGTAAGACAGCTAGGGGGGTAAAGCAGGGTAGTACAGACGTGCCCTCAGCTTAGTTGATACAGCCAGATATACAAAGTGTGCCGACCGTGGATATTAATCACGTATGAATTAGCCTCGTACTCGTTCGGCAATATAGTGCCCCAGTTGTCTCATAATGAGGGTTTCATTGTTTCGAATATACTGTTCTCAAGAAGTTAAAGATTACCATGTCAGGAAGAAGTAAATTCATTTTTAGCAAATATTTTGACTTAGATCCTAATAGAGAATTTGCAGGTGTCTTGACATTTGATGAATTTTGTGTCGAAGTGAAAACTACTGAGTAAACTAAACACGAGGATATCCTTGGTTCATAAATTGAACAATTATTGGAGAAGATATTACAAAATGATCTAATCTGCTAAATTACTTGTGTTTAAATGGAAAATGCTGCCAAATGACGTCACTAGGCGGTGCATTTTCTCACTTTTAAATCTATTTTTATACTATTTCCTATTTCCGATATCCGAAAATAATTATAAAGAATACTTTGAAATCAACTCTTTAAGCATTTTCAGATGAAGCAATAAAACATTTGCATGTGAATTCTCCGTTGACCATTTTATGAAGAAAGAAGGAACCATTCCATCAGAAAATGTGAGGAATCAATTTGAAAATCATTATTTCACGACAAACCAGACAAGCCATTTTCAAGTTTTTCTCCATTAATCAGCTTGTGTTTAGGGTTTGTGATGGCACAGGCAAGACAGGCACGTCTATTGTCTGGGCACCCTTTGCAATTGGGGTTGCAAATTGTCCCGCCGACATTTCCTAATGCGTGGTCTAGATTGTATTGTACGTAAATGCGTCCAACGCCAGGGTTCACAAACAAACAGAAAGAACACTCATTGATCACTCATATGTACTAGTTATGTCATTGTGTGTTATCAGCTCTCTCGTTTTTTTTTGTGGCCTACAATGGCCACGCTTCCTTTTTTCTTTTATAGTCTCTACTTTCCATATGTGCTGATTTCCGTTGTTTTTAGATGTGTTGAAGTGAAGTTAAGTGTCAACCCTTTCCTCCATCCTTTATCCTTTCTTCTTGCCCAGAGTTGGTATGGAAACTAGTTCCCATGACCACCTTAGATAAAGACACCCCCCCCCTCAAACTGAGAATCTTTATAGAAAAGCTATTATACTTAACGATTGAAACAACACAGGGTGGCCCAGACCTACCATACCAGGCTTTTTTTTTCAAAGAAAAAGTGGTTTCTGAGTGCTGAAAGGTAACGAAGTTGAACGAGGAATCGACCCCAAGGAATTCGAAATTCATGTTTTCGGAGGCCTCCCATCTCCCTTTGGTGGGTATTTTGAGGAGTTACCCCTCATATTTAGAAATCGCAGAGAAAATGTGGTAAGGTAGGTTGAAAAATGAAATTTACGCAATATTTCATGAAGAATAAAAAAAAAATTCTTCGAAAGCTCAATTTTGTGCTGAATTAGAGCGCCTCAAAAATGGGGGATTGCCGTGCTTAAGCTCGAAAAATTTACCCCGATTTTACAATTTTTTCGAGTGTTTCTCGATAATTTTGAAGAAAACTGGCGTTTTCCCCGTGGTCGACAAACGAGGCCTAGCCCTCTCCTCGCGTGGCCCTAGGGACCTGTTGTGGAACTCCGAAACGTGAAAATTCGCGTTTTTCATGGAAAATCACCCCGAAATTTTCCCAGAAGTTTTAAGAGAACTAGGGTTTGATGAGAAGGGGATAAATGGGGCCCAGGCCCCCTCGCTGCGTGGCCCGAGGAGCCTTTTTAGAGCGCCAGAGCCGAATAATTCGTGTTTCTCTTAAAAAATTACCCTAGATTGCAACTTTTCCGGGGATTTTCCGTTAATTATGAAGATAACTAGCGGTATGCGCGGGGAGCTTAAGCACTTTACTCCCCCATTCCTGAGGGGCTCTAATTCGGCTCAAAATTGAGCTTTCGAGAAATTTTTTTAGTTGATTCTTCATAAATTTTTGCGTAAATTTCATTTTTCAACCTATCTTACCACATTTTCTCCGCAATTGCTAGATACGAGGGTCAACTCCTCAAAATACTCTCCAAAGGGGGGTGGGAGGCCTCCGAAAACATGAATTTCGAATTCCTTGGGGTCGATTCCTCGTTCAACTAACCACCTCTCAGAACTCAGAAACCAATTTTTCTTCGAGAAAAAAGCCTGGTAAGGTAGGTCTGGGCCACCCTGTATAACTCATACTAAGGACTCTATCCCCCCGTTTATAGTCTCAGTAAATGAAACTAACATTGAAATAAACTTATTTTCCTCATAAGAGCTCTATTCTATAAAGCTATAATTGAACGGATAAAACAAATTTACAAAATCAATAAGGACTTAATAAACAAAGAATTTGAAAAATTTGAACAGGCCATTAACTTAGCCAATAACCATAGAAAACTTCTGCCCTGGCAAGACACAAAATTCTGCATCCCTCTAAAATTCAGTACTAGATGTATTTTAATAAATAATGTCCCCACTGATGTAGACATCCTAACTATTGGAGCTTTCCTAAAGGACAAGTACAAAGGAGTTATTAGTGTCAGAAGGGTCTATAGGAAAACTAATGAAAACTAGCTAACTCCTACCGAGAGATTAAATACTTTAATTGAGGGCTCTAAAATCCCTAAATCCTTATTCCTCTTCTATACCAAATGCCCCTGCCTGCTCCCCATTCATCTTAAATATCCTGATAGGTAATAACTGTCTCAAATGCGGCCACAGATCCGAATGTGAAGGTCATTTAGTCTGTCAAAGCAAAGCTAGATGCCTCAGGTGCTCAGAACATCATGTAGCCCACGATCTTTGTGCTGAACTAGTCAAATGTCTCCACTGCTCTAACAATCATATCATATTTGACAATTCCTGCCCCGAATTAGGTAAACAAAAGGGAATTAAAAAATTATGGCTGAAAATAATATTGGCTATAAAAAAGCGAAAGAAATTGCCAAATCCACAAAAGAAGAAACCCTAGTTGTCAAATTTTTCGACATAATCCGCAAAATCCAAGAAAAAACTCTAACAGGTTAAGATATGATCTAAAAATATCTGACTTTCCTCTATTATCAAATAAACATGTAACTCTAGATGAACCCACCCCAATGGAAACCGACATTCT